TTGATATTATTTCTTATGTATATATATCATTATTATTGTGGTAATATTTGTTTATGTTTATATTTTTATTATATTTATATATTTCTATATGATTATTATTAGTATTTTTTTTGATAGACATGAGAATTCCCACGCTTGGGTACGGGTTTTCGGACGTTGTTTGAATTATTTTGAATCAGTAGTGAAATGTAATTACACATGAATTCTCAAAACTAAAACTTTCACCATCTCGAGTTGGAGAATTTTTATTAGATCTTGTATAATAAAAACATTGTGGCAAACATTGATGCCATCGCGCAAGTTATTGCTATTTCGAAAACATTTCCAATTCAGTGTGATTCTAAGTAACCAATTACCCGAAGCGTACCTATATTGAGCTTAACATGAAATTCAATGCACAATTGTGATTCGAATTTACACACGGAATTGCAGCTTCCGAATGATCATGTAAGATTTGGTCATAAGCGTGTATGTTCTCTGTGCTCCTTTTTCAAAAGCAACATTTTTAGTTCGTCTGGTGGTCAGTTTTCTTCGTATAACGAGTTCGTTATTTAACCAGCTATGATAAAACTGCAGCGCTCAATCGAGATCACATTCTTTTCTTGAAGTTGATGCATTAAATTTTGCATTTGTCTTTTCGACGTTTGGTTGTACGCTTGATATAAAGACATTATGGTATATGGTATATAAAGAGTGGAAACAAGGATACTGAAGACACCGCACAGGAGTTCAACAGTGAATCGGAAATTGTGTAGGAGCTTGATTTCTCGTAAATTGAGAAGAAAATAGACTGATTAACTTGTTATGTTATCTAGTCTATTTAATTTCAAGTGTTACGTTTTGTAAGTTTTCTGTTTCTAGGCCTTGACCTGTATAATTACGTGCTATCATTGACATTGTTAGGTTGGATACTTACCTTCGTTTAGCGTATGAGTACTCGGCTTACTATTGAAAGTGCATTTGTTGGATTTCTGTTCTTTTAATCATGAGTATAGGAATACGCAAATAGATAATACAATAGTTGTTGCAGAATAGACATAACATTTCAGGGCTCTCGCTCTATTACTTTAAGGGCAAATGAGTAATGGGCAATGCATAGTCCAGAAAAAAAATTTTCATTGATCGATTTACATGTTCAACTAATGACATTGCCAAAAGTAAGTTTATTGCTATAGGATCTTAAGTTTTATCCAATTTTGTTTTATTTTCAGTACGACTACTAGAATAATTTGACAGCTGATACTGTAGCTCTTCTATGGGTGTATTCATGACGTTGTTAAAAAACCTTCATTTGTGCGATTATAGTCGGTCGTACGAGCGTGACGATCGCACAACAAGTGGAGCATATGATTCGTCTATACGTGTCAAGATTGGCTAAATGATCGCATCAGTGACTCACATCGTTACGGGCGAGCGACCCACTCATGAATGATGCTTACTGCCATTTCCGAGATCGCCATTTTCAATGCGCGAGGGTTTGAAGATTCATGTGTGATGAGTTTGTGCCAATACCACTGAATTCCGAGATCAAATTTTAATGGTGAGGAGCAATAATTTCGGTCCACTTGCTTCAAGAGCAGACGGATATTCATATACTTTATAGAAGATTGTTTTAATTTCAGCTATGACCGATAATTCTTTCTTGATAGTGAGGGGAAAGAGATGTTCTTTGGATATGCGTGTCATAGCTAGGTAGTGGCTTTCTTTTCATTGTTGGCATTTATTAGTTAAGAAATTTTTCTGTTTCAGATATATTTTGCATTCATGTTAGTGTTGTCTTTCATTGGTTTGTCAGCTTCTAGGAATTTACGTGGTTTTAGGTTTTGTTCGAATGTCAGGATGTATTTTGAATGTGTCTTCTAGATATCTTAGATGGCGAAATTTGCTTTAGGGTGTTATAGTATTGATTTAGTGATGAAGTGTTGTTTTTAGTAATATGTCACGCGAAGGTTATACCTTTTTTGAGCTGAATTGTGTTGATGTTGGGTCAAGTGGGTTATTCACTGTGTTTTTTTAATGTTTATGCCTTTCATTTACCCATCGGTAAATGCGTTATTATCGCGTTCGTCGTTTAGATGCGATTGGAGTTTTTCTCGAGTAATTATACTAGAAATTTTACCTTGGCTAGCTTTCATTTATGCCTTATAACATTGTCCTATAGTGTTATCCAAAGTGATTGAACGTGTGTACGTAAGGACTGATTCTTTTGGAGCTAAGATTCATGCCGGTCAGTATATTGCTGTTAGCAATATGGGAGATGTTGGGATGTCAGACCTCTAAAGGGTAATATGTGTTTGGGATGTACAGACTTTCTAGTGCGACTCATGTGGCATAGGTCGCAAGTCCATAAGCATGATATGCGAATGCAGAAGTGAGTTTATAGATATACCTAGTGCTTAGCAATTTTCATTTACTTGACTCTGTTTCCTTGGTATTATATTGTTAGTTTAGTTATTTGAATTTTTTGTATATCTGTGTTGTATATTTGCTTCTCTCTTATACGTGTGTGTTTAAGATAGAAATTAGAATAGAAGAGGATTCTAACGTGATTACAAAGAGGTTGAGAGAAGCTCCATGATTTTTATTTTTTTATGTTATATATCTGTTGTCGTGTGAGGTGTGTCGCTCTGATTTTCGTGTTTAGCTCCTATATATCGTTATCTCATTGTTTTTTTTTTGGTTTTTTTTTTTTTGGTTTCTTTTGTTATTAGCATATGTTTTAGTCGAACACATCCGTTTGGCTCTATTCTATCCGGATCTCAGTGGCTTATATATTGTTTTTACAGGAATGCGTTGTGCTAAAGAAAAAGCAGTCAATAATTGTCTTGCTATTTGTATGAGGAAAGGAAGATTCAGGTCGAACACCAGGTTCCTTAATGTGATTACGATGCAGACGCTTGTCGGAATAAACTGGAGTTTTAACATCCGCCACGTTGGTGTAGCATTGTATCAATTGCTGTAGTGATAAATCGCGTACCTGTGATCTTCATTTCATTACTTCGAGATTTCTTAATGATGTGCTTGTAGTATATACTGCTGCCCTCAGCTCGTGTCATGGCGAATTGAGACCAGCGCGTCAGCAAATGAACCGAAGGTAATATTACTATTGACAGAGGCGTGAGATTCTTAGACTTTTGATTAGTATGAATATACGCAATTTAATTATGTAATACACTTTACTTCGCACGATGAGCATTGATAGAGCCTGATTTATTATATTAATGTTTTGTTATTAAGAGTTGTAAGTGATTTCTTAAGGCCTTCATTTGATGAGATCGTTAAAAAGATGGATAAAAATTCTATTTGATAATGAAGCTGAAAGATGAATGCGAAGGACCGGATGTCGATAGGAGGTGTTTCATACTTCGCGGGAAGATGAGTATTTTTCTGTATATGTGGAAGGTTTATTAGCTCTTAAAGCAGAAGCGGTTAAAGCTGTTCGGTGGTTGTTGAGATAGCATGAGTATAACTTATGTATATAAATGGTACCTATCATCAGGTAGATTTCATAGTCCAAGTTTTGTGAGTTATAAAAATATAGAGGCTTTGATGATTAATCGTTTCTGAACGTTATTTATGCAGCTGCCAAACTTGTTTTATATTTGAAACTGTGCTTTTTGTTACGTGGTGGTGTAGATGTACATTACCATGGACTCATCGGATCGATACGTGTATATAGAGGAGTGAGAAACTGGTTTCTAGATGAAGATGGAATTGTGAAAATGTTTGAATATTAATGGAAGTAATATATATGTGAAGTGGTAGATTCGCAGGATTGAATGTTTTAGTGTCTTATTGAGATTGTAGGACAACTCGCAATGGTTTGGGGCTGGATAGGAGTTGTAAGTAAGGACTGGACCAATGAGTATACTCTTAATGAGCATAAGCTTCGAAACTTTTTAGTCCTATGTTATGCCTGTATACTTTAATTAGTCTTGAGTTGTTGATTGATTTTGCATTTGGAGGGTTATTATAGAAGTACTGCCTAGTTGTGTGCTCAACAAATGAGTTTATTCCTTGATAAGAGAGACGACAGTATTTAACAGTACACTCGGATGCTGGATGATCAAGCGAAACGGACTCGCCAAGCTTCGGATCGATACGTCGTTAGTTAACCGATTTGGTGGTTGATGACGCTCTACCTTCATTCATAGTCATTGCTACTATGCCTACGAGCAATGGCGATGGCTTATATGGCAGCATTAATTTGCTTTTCCTTGTTACTAACCTTTGTGCTGATGTTTATTCGCATCTCGGTTTGCTTCCAATAAGCTAACCATTATCTCTGTTTCGTTACTAATTCAACAGAGTGGCTGCAGTATATTTTTAGGCCATGTAATTTTACACGTTCTATTGCGACTTCGGTATGTCAAACCAAAAAATATAGGTCGAGAGAAACTATACAGTTTTGTGGAGTTGTACTCATACGGTTTAGAATGGCTACCTAATGTTGAGGCTTTGACTTGTACTATTAAAATAGTGTTCAGTGGGCAGTTCAAGAGCAAATTTTTCCCGAAGCGTGTTATTACATATTTTAAATCATACATCAATCGTATTGATCAAAGTGTGAATGGCTAGTTGTCGGTGGGAGGTACGTGATGCAATAATTCGACATATGCTCTGGGATTTTGATGTTTGTGGTGCATTTGTTGAACTTCCTAACCATTGGATGTCCTGATCTCCGATCTTCAGCATCACTAAATGGTCCTGATGGTGTTGGAGTTTGGAGCGATTAATATATTCTCAAATTATGCTGATATGGATGCGATGATAAATTAGAGAGGTAGCAAATGCTAGTGAAATGAATTAGCGAGTCAAGGACGAGAAGTGCACTGATTCATCCAGAATCTGACTGCTTATTTTTGGATGTATTGTTGATTACATATTATGTTTATTTCGTTTAAGGATTTAGAGCACAGTAGAGGCGAGGCGACCTTATAATATATGTCGTTGAGGTGTTGGCTCGTGGTATTGTAAATAGATTCTGTTTGTGAGGATGACTGTGGACCTGTTGGTGTGTGGTGCGAAACGCTGGTGGAAGTTTGCTTGTCTTGACATAACTAGTAAGAAGATACTGTAATCGCATGGGTACAGCTAGACGAATCGTTTCGTGTTCGTTTACTCGTTAACGATGGAGTGCTTCGGTTTCACGGACCTCTATTTGATTTTTATATTAGTAGTTGGGCCGGATTCGATGGGTTTACGACAATGTATGCTATTACGTGATAGGGATTGAGTTTACTTGCCTACGATATGATGGTCCGTTATTTGCTTTCTGTTAACGTATGATGTTTGTGAGCTTTGGCGCAGTTATTATTCTCAAGGATTATTGCGCATCAATACTTTTGATTTCTTAATGATCTTATTGCTTATAGCTAGAAAAAAACATACCGTCGACCGAATATAGGCAATCGCTCTCAGCACATGTATAGGATCGCACGATCTGCTCAAGTAGAGGCAGCGCCATAAAGCGGCAGCCAACAATCGATCGTTAGCTAAAAAGCCCTAAAACATCTTGAGGTAATTGGACAGCGGAATATTGAGAATATAGGTCTTTTTCTCCCTCAGGAGGCCAAAATAGGCAGTGTGAGGGCAACTCACGAAATTCTCTACGGAGACTTACCTCATCATATTCTAGGAACGTCTGCAAATGCAAGCCGTGCATGCTCTTCAAATCAGACTGCGACGTAAGCGATTGTTTTATTTCTTCCTTAAAAACATTCTATGATATCCAGAAGCATAATTTCTAGAGACTAATAATATCAGAGACATAATTTCAGGAAAACAAAAGCAAGAATGAGGAAGGAAGAGAAAGATGAAAAGGTCTACATACCGAAACGATTTTTAGCCTAGCGTCCACATCGAACCACATGTAGCCAACATACTACGCTGTAACCGTAGATAAGCTTGTGCATCAAGCGATGAATGCATTCTCAGCAGAACCATCCTGATGTAACGATTAGAGAAGGCGTGTATTAGCAGTAACAGTTCAAACAACTCAAATTGCTACAAATCTTACCAGCAGTGCATTAGAGTCAATTTGTACCAGGATGACATATAATCAGGTAAACCAAAAGCTGCAAAAAGAAATAGATCTTAATCACTGAGGCCACGCTTTGCAAAATAAGCACCCACCTTCACACAGCTTCTCATAGTCGTAATTATTTGCACAGTTATAGTAAAGTTGAGCTGAGGCCGTGTCAAGTAACTGGAAAAATGAATAATTACAGATCTGCGAAAAGCAAAGGAATTTTTAAAGCGACTGAAAAACTGTGAAAAAAATAAAATCCACATTAAGATTTCAATTGCAGAAAACCCACATCCTTCAGTAGAGGATCCACTGCTTCCTTAGCGAACTTGTTCTTAATTGCAGCTCTGATACGGAGAATCGTTTTTGGCAATCGTGATGGTGGAGATGATAGCAGATTTTGGGCGTATTCGTCTACTGGTGTAACCTGGAATGATGAGTAAAAATGCTTCGGATCTGTTTTGCAATTTGAAAAGAGCCATTGCTAATGCAATGTAAAGTAGAGTGCACGGATCAGCAAATTCAGGGAGATCTTACTGATTGCTGAAAATCATCACCAATTGGTGTTACCTATTTTTTGTTCTATACACTTAAGGCGTGCACAGCCAATAAGAGCACCACGGAGAGGAAATAATGGAACGATAAAAGAGCTACACTTGAGAAGAATTGGTACTAAAAAAACCAACAGTGGATATATTTGAATACTGTGTGCCCTCCTAAATGAGGTGGCGGGTGTAATAATAATAGGATAAGTACAATAGGTATGAAAACTATGTAAAATATTTAAAATTAAGTGCATGTGAAAGCACTTCGCTCCAGTTTTCATCAGTAACCCGACTAGTTATTTAAGAACAGAATACGTCGGCGTCAAACGAGCCCCATGAGACTACTGACGCGGTGATCAAATTTCGGTGCTAACTTAGTTGGGGGACCACGCGGCGGCGCGGCGCTTTGCTCGCCTGGGGCTCTCTCGAGCGAGATAGTGTGAACTCGAACATTCCAGCATTTCACGCATGTCAGATGACTGCCCTCACCCCCACCCCCCTAGACTGCCTACAGTCCCCCTGGCTCACGGATTTCCCGAAGTACGCAAAGATGCCAGGCGAGCAGAGCGCCGCGCCGCCGCGTGGTCCCCCACCCAACTAAGTAAGCACCCAAATTTCTTCACTAAACCTTTGCCCGAACGATGTAAGGCTCCACATATTCTTAGGATTAGGAAAACCCACTGTGCACTCTGGCTACATCAAGGTTCACATAAGCGTTACCGCCATCTTTTTGAGTAAGCGACGACAAGCGGCAACAGGTGAATTAGGTTTGCGGTGATGCTTCGCTTGGCGCATGCATAGTCGGTCGTGCGGTCGTAACGAGCGTTGATGCCTATCGGTCGTCCAATCCGCATACTTTCAACTATCGATGCGCATCCAATGGCCAAAATGTGACTTTGCGATTGGAGCGATTTTGCACCAATTGCTCAAGCGATCCGTCGCTCCAAAGTGCGAGCGACGGGAGATTTGCCACGCCAACCACCGATAACTCGGCAACGCTCTGGTAAATCCCCGTCGATTGCAGTGTGAGCGACGGGCGATTGCGATTGATGACGCCGTGTTATCGGTGGTTGGCGGGGTAAATCCCCGTCGTTCCCACTTTGGAGCGACGAATCGCTTGAGCAATTGGTGCAAAATCGCTCCGATCGCAAAGTCTGACATCAGCCAATGCTGGGCGGTCAGACGATCGACTATGAATGCGCCTTGACAGATTGAAGTGGACTTTTGCTGAGTCATTGAAAGTAAACCTAACTTCTAACAAGTTATCAGAGTCAAATAGAGAAGAAAAAACTGTAGATACCTTACTGGCGACGGGCGGATCACGGGATGTTGACGCTATACTTCTAACGTGAACAAGTCGACGAACAGCCGATCGTGCTAACATTCCTGAATAGCTAGTGGTGAAAAAATGCCAATGGAAATTTAGGTGCTATGAGTCATGAGTGTGAGTCGGATGGACACGCCGAATTTCAATATTACTTGGGCGAAACTCGGGTTAGGGGAGGGGCACGCGATGGCGGAGCGCTCTGTTCGTCTGCTCCTCCAGAGTTTATTGTTAGTCCACAGGGACTGTTACTCTTTCGCCATCAAGTGGCGATTTCAAAATACGTGCCGTCGGTGACTAAGCCTTGGTAAAGCAGACGAAAACAGCGCCGCGATATCGCGTACCCCCTCCCCCCGAACCCGAGTTTCGCCATTACTTGTCCACGCCTAGTCGAACCACATAGCATCCTAATCTCCTCTGGAACGGATATGGTATGACCTCAATTGGCACAAGTTCCAGTGGTCCACGGCACAGAATACAATAGGAGTAAAGCAACAGCACAGAGTTCAATATCAGAGAAGAAACAAAAAGAGAACGAAATAAATGGAAAGACATAGGAAGAAGAGGAACAGTGGAACAAACACGACAGCCAAAATAAATGTAAATGTGCGCGTGGGGATATGCTGTGGGTGTAACCACGGCAACTACCTAATACATGACGGCGCAATGTGGTGAGAGCTGGAGAACTGAGAACACTCGGCTTTCTAGGGACCTGTGTTCTTACAGACGCCTGTTTGAAACACTGTGTCCACATATTTGTGGTATCTTCAGTACATTCGTCTGCATTCGCTGCATTCTAGGTATATTTCATATTAGAATATTATTATTCTGCACGAAACTGCTGTTTATTCAGCCACTGTGCTTTCATCTACCTGAAATTCATCTTCTGCATTCTGTCGTGTATTGTCATCAGATTTACCCAGCATGGTGCATTGGACTTGAGCTGATATCACTGATAGCAAGTAGCGGTCAGCCATCTGGCGCCACTCCTTCTTTCACTCCGTTTTTCCCGTTCTCTCATATCCTTTCATTGTATCGAGTTGTTCGGAAAGTTCCCGCCGATTTGGGTGATACTGATTTTATAGACTGCTTTGAAAGAAGTCTAGGGCATACTTTTACAAATTGTTTGTTTTGTGACAAGATGAACATTCCCCTATGTTTCTTTCTAGATTGGATTATAATCTTTGAATTCTGTTTGTATAGGACTGGTGTGAAGAGAGAGAAACATGTGAGGGCAAGAGTGAGCCTAAACGGCTAAAAAGATATGTAGGGAAGGATATATAGAAAAGATTATTTTCGTCGGGTGAACGCGATCTTTCAACGTCCTTGTGGCGCCTTATCTCAATGTGCGTTGCTTTTAGCTGTATGGGCCGTGACCGGCAATAAATTGCCCTGACATTCCCAGTGAACCACCGTATCACCGTAAGTGTCCGAGCAGGCAAAGGTACGACCGGAAGGAAATTGCCTGTTATGAGGTGTTGGCGCACAAACAATCGATTATTCTTGAAAGATTGTTCTCAGCTGGACAATTTGAAGACAGTCATGAAAGAAAAGCGCTCAATCGGCCTGGGCAGAAAGTACCTCAATTTTCAAGGGATGGGCCTCAGGCTTCGGCTGCCAGAAGGCTAAGGTGCACATGAGGTGCGAAGAGCGCCTTGTAGTCACCATGGCCGAGCACCGGTACCTTCACATTTTGTGTTTCGGAGCTCGCCCTGCATAGACCAGATGGTGTGATCGCCTGTAGGGTCCTCAATAGAATCTGAAGTGCGAGGCAGAGTGTACTGTACAATTGTCCAACGACCCTCCGGAAATATGGTAAATTCCTACGCTGAGAGACGTGAGATTTGGACGTCACCATATTTCGGACAGGGCCATAATGAATATTCATATTTGTAATTGTTGTATTTGTTGTAGTTGGTCAGAAAGCGGTAGGCAAGGAACCCGACTCAAGCTGTTCCATCGATTGTTTCTGACGTTTGTATTTGCTTATACTGTCGCTCTTAAGATGACTCGAGGAACGCGCCGAGCCTTGTGAGCGACACGGACCCTGGGATGACCCGCTCAGGACAGGCTCCCTTTACCTGAGAGAAGGTGATCGAAGCCCAATCGTCGCCTTAGGAAGGGCCATGACGGCAATCTCGGGGAAAAAGGTTACACTTCCCCAGTGGTTTCGCGACACCCTGTATAGACCAGAATACCATTTGTTTAGGTTCCTGCAGAATTGTTGAATGGGAACTCATTTGATTCGCAGAGTATTGCAAAAGCACTCAGAGGAGTTTTTGAATTTCTAGTTTGCAGCTACTTGATGCCTCTTTCTGAGGAATAAAGTTTTTAGGAACATGGTGTACGGAATATGGAATGTATTGTCTTGTAAACAGACTTGTTCTTTTGGAAATTTTCTGCTATGGTAGACTCAAAAATTGACGAAGGCTTTCCGAACAATCCAGTAGAACACATATGCAGCTAATACTGTCATGTTATGTAAGTATATCTCCCGCTACACCCCTTCAGACGAGGCTTTTTATGTGGTAGCTGCCAGCATCTGTAGATAAGATAATTAGCGCACTCAGTAGAGGTCGATTGGTGTTTTATACAACCTGATCGCTCTGCGTTTATGTCGCGTTTCGACAAAAATTTTAAACACGGATGTTCTGACGCAGGTTGATGGAGTTCTCAACCCAAGGCGATGTGGAGGCAAATGTGTACACCTATGTTGAATTTCGAAAACGCGTGAGTTGTCTTACTGCCATATGCTCTCCATGAAGAAGGATTGGAAGTTCGATAAACTCGATAGAAAACTTGCGCCGAAATCCCCGGGAAGACGATGTGGCTCGATGATGGAGAGCGGCGCGACGATACGAAATGAAATGGCGATGACTCACGTGGCGAAGCCAAAGCCTTCTATTAGCTTATTGCTGAAGGATGGTTCTTCAACCGTCTCCTACCAAAGTTGGCTCCGCGTGTGCAGAAACTCTGACTTTGTTCTCCTATACGCACACTCGATATGATCGTGACAAATTTATAGAGTCCAGCCGAATCAATAAAATTAAATTCTGATCCTGGTATAGATAGGAACCGCTGCTCACGAAATTGGTCACGCCCTTGGATTCTTCCATACGCACTTAAGATGTGACCGTGACCAATTTATCACTGTTGATGAACAAATTATTAATGTAATGCGCAAATGCTACAACACCTTCATCTCGGCTTGTAACTTATTCTGATTGATTGATCAATTAACGCGGGACACAATCTCATAAAAAACAGTTATGGTTTGACATATGACTATGGTAGCCTTATGCACTACGGTGCCAAAAGGTCGGCTAACTATGATGAGACAGCTGTGAAATAAAAAGGATAAACTCGAAATTACTTCTGGAAACAAAAATGCTACCATGGCGCTTACGGATGTGTTATACACAGAGACTCTTGGATCTGTTTTCATTCCTCACTACGATTTCCTTATGATGAATATGGGCACTATGACTGCACAGGCGAGTGAGTTTCTTGTACGACTTTTGTGCGCCAAAGTGCTTGCAAGAGATGGCGTTCCAGACACATTCAAAGGACCACATAAACGGATTCCCTCATCCGTGAGTGTTTCGAATGCATCTGCCTCATTGGATTCACTGAACAGCCCTGCAAAAGTGTCGAAAAATAGTTCATACGACTAAGGCGGTCACAAGGCCGGCTTCACGAGAAGATTTCATGAAATGCAACTATTGGATCAAGGTACATGGTTCCCAGAAAGCAATATATCAAGTGAGAATCAAGACTGCATAGAAACTGAAGTTAAGTTTGTGGACTCCTAGACGGAATTGTCGTTGATGGATGCACGTATGCAGGGATAAAATCAAAACACATCCGGAATAAAGTCGCATGTCGACAAGCAGACGAGATTTGCGTTGTAGCAATTTTTGTTTACGATATTACTATTTTATTGTCACATACATATATCTATATATGCGATATTTTTGTTTTTTACTTTCATAGTTTTTTGCCATTACTCATCGATCAACTTCTGATCTAATGCCCCTTTTTGATTTTGTGATATTTTGCTAGTCGGTACCGTACGTTCGATTTTAGCCTGATTCGGCTAAGAGTTCAACGGTGATGTCGAGAGACGAATCTCCTGTTGAGCGTTCTACCGGTAAGGGTGCTGTGAGCCGTGGCCGACACAGAGGAAAGCCGTCGAAACAACGTCGTACGGACGAATTTCGAGCGAAGAAGAACACGACCACCAAACAGTCTATCGAGGATGGCATCAGACAGAGACTTAAGCTGGACAAATTCGAGGCGCTAGAAAAGCAAATGCGGCAACTATCGATGGGTGTCAACCCCGTTGCCAAACACCTGTCTATCACGACACGTGGCATTGGCTTTACCTCGGGATTCAGCTACTGTTTCTTCAAGGATGTCGAACCTCGCTTGGCAGCCACACTATGTAACGTCAACGTTATATATCGCGTCAACCTGGCTCTTTTCCAAACTCAACTTTCTCTTTCAATTACTGGAGAGCATGGTTTGGATGCGTGCTGGCCTGCCCCTGACTGTTTCAATCTTCGCGCTCCTAGCTCGTTCTGTGACGCCTTTCTATCTGTTACGCATACGGCGACGCTCTCTTACCTGCCACTTACATCCGTCGGGCGATTTCAACACTCTGGCGTCGAGTACCTTCCCCTCATCTCTTCTTGTCCACCTGAGATGATGTTGGAATCTGAACCGGCTGTTTCTGCTCCGTCTTCTTCTGCTGCGGAACAGTTGGTTGTACCAGCTAAAAGACCGACGCACCGTGCTTCGCCTCGTCGTGCCCCCGAGGACTTGCCGTTCATTCCAGATCCTTTCACTGTGCATATTAAGAATCTGCGTTCTACGGTTGAGTTCTTGGCGAATCCAGCTATGTCGCGCCCAATTAGGCACTTCTTCCGGCTCTGGAATCCCATTCCAGGCGCCATTTGGAATGATGATGATGTTCTCACTAATCCAAATGAAGTCTGTCCTGCCGGTTACTACGAGAATGATGCCATGTGGGATCGTGATATTTATCTCTACAACAATTT